TTGAAATGGCATCATGGATGCAATAGAAGATGTTTCATGTTTCCAACCTGCACCTAACTTCTGTCTGTTGAGGATTAAGAATCACAGCATCTGAATTTACATGTATGTGCACACACCTAAATATCATTAGAATTTCATTACATTTTCTGAGTAGAGAAAGAAGACTATTCAGTCTGATCCATGGAAATGGATCCACGTGAGAGGTAACAACCAAGAACTATTACCACTGAAAAAATTAACAAGATCTGTTTGTGTACAAAAACATTTTACAAAATTTAAATCACAAGTTAAATGTGGATTTCATTTCATAATTTGTTTTCCTGGTTAATAACGTTAAGAGCCACACCGTTTCAAATCCCTGTGTTAATTATAGTAAAATCCATCAAATCAAATTAAATGCCTAGAATCAATAGTGGTTATCCACCAACCATTTGTAATGACAATCATGCCCTCTGTTTCATGTGTGTTCCCAACAAGCCTTACTTTTATCACCTTCACCAACTTCAACTGAAGCCAATGTGTGTTAGTTCACACTTAATAATGATTGTGGTTCTTCCTCCCACCCCCATACTAACCCTCCAAACCTGATGATCAAATGTGTCAACACCTATATAATCTGAGGGGCTTTTTTAAAAAAAGCTAATAAAACATTCCGCATTCATCTGTCATGATTGCAAATACACAAAGGAAAGCAGGAAATGAATACAACCGCATTGCCATTCAACCTCACTTGCGCATTTCATTTAATGTTCTCCATTGCAGCCTTTTTTCTTTTTAAGCAGTTCCCATACTTTTCAAAATCATGTTCCCTTTTTGAATGTTGAGGAACATTCAAAACTGAATCAAGGACTTTTGTAGCGTACCACTGCACCAGCTGGCTATAAGTATCTAGCCTCCTCGTTTTCAAATGGCGTATTAAGATCCCCTAGTGAGCTGTAGGAGTTAGGCCTCCAGTAGTGACCTAGCACTGCTGCTAAAAATCAAGTAACACACATGAATCTCTATCATCTGAAAGGACAGCTCCACAGGGAGCAACTGTGGAGTGAAAAGAATCTTTCTGCACTTCTGATAAAGGATATCTTCTTGTAATTCCTCAGACATCAACATCCATTCCATCAAGTTACGGAAGAAGATAAGGAAAGCTGGGCAGTCCATCTGCTCTGCTGAAAGACCAGGAACCTTTGGCTCTGCCTCTTCTTGAACTACTTCTGTTCCTGTTAATAATTACAAGAGCTTTGTAACTAAGCATACCAGCTAAGGCAGGAGGGGGGGGTCCCCCTTGCATTTTCCCAATCTCTCTTCTGGTGTGACTTTTCAACTGGAAAAGCAAAAATAGGGCAGTAGTCTCTCCTCTTTCTATGCACAAAAGCCAAACAGACCAGGAATTGGATCTGATTTACTACTGGTGGAATAAAATCATTGCTCAGGGAAATCAGAGAGTTTGCACCTAAGGCAGCTGTCTCACCCTACCTAATGGCAGGGCCATCCACTCCTTGAAGGCAGCAATTGGCTTTTCATTCTTTATCATCTCTGTAGGCCACTCTAGGATACTTTTTTAAACTGAACAGCAGACTCAAATGCTTGATAATAAATAAATAAATGCATAAATAAATAAAGCTAATTATTAGCAACCCTCCAAATCTAAATGCTTTTCTAATTAATGTTGTTTTGCCATTGTTGTTGTTGCTGTTCCTTTTACCGTTGCTGCTTTTATCATGCCCAGAAGGATGCTAAGCTATTGATGGAGAATTCTGAAAACAATTTGCTCCTGATGCCCACAGGTTCATCTAATAAACCACTAATGTAACATATTTATTGTAATGCATAAATAAAGAAGGGCAATACATGATTATTGCTGCACGGGAGTGCAGCAAATGATAATGTGTGGCAGAGCAAATCAACATTCTACAAGGCAGTTCAAAGAATGAAGGCAACCAACACAAAAATTATAACTTTGAAATGGGACTTCAGGTCAGCAGCAAAATTGGCATGAGTGCAGCAGACCGTCTGTTCTTGCTCTGAACCAAATCTGAGAGAGTTTGGGGAAAGAGTTTTCAAGTTATGTTTTTTTACACACTTGTTGAAAAATATCCCTTACAATTGCTTTGTGCTCAAGTGAGAAGTGGTTAATTGATGGGAAAAAAGAGTAAGCTTCTGGGATTTTCCGTTGCATGGTGTCACCTTTTAGATGGTAGTGAGCACAAGAGGGTATCCTGTAGACCATCTTGACTGCCATCTTGTCAACATTCGTGCTGCCCTTTGCTGTTTAAGGATGGGTATCCTTTTTTCCTGATGGCAATGAGAGTGTGGTATTATGCAGCAACATCAAGCCATTTCCTTGTGTTTTGAATTGCATATACAGGAAGCACATTATCCCACTTTTATAAATTGGAGGGTTTTTTGAAGAAATTAATAGTAAGTACACTTGGTCTTCTTACAGGAGACATTCGTTAATTAAATATTTATATTTTCCATGCAAGAGTTCTTCTTATCCTGGATGCCAAATGTGTACATGGACACCCTTGCCATTGGTCAGTTACATACAGAAGCACAAGACCAAAATAAAACAAAACAAAAAAGTTCTGAAGATTTACAAGTCTGCGATTATCAAAGCCCTTTCAATGTGTTAGAACACTACTCTCATGTTTTCGAATGATGTTGTAGTTCAACACACCAGGTTGGGGGAAGCTGAATTAGGGAACAGTGAATCATGGTAGAATGCATCTGACTACTCATTAGAACATGGGGTGGGTGTTGTTGTTATGTGCCCTCAAGTAGCTTCCAACTTAGAATGACCCTATGAAATAACATGTGCTGAAAAGTTCTGTCATTCACTGCCCTGCTCAGGTCTTGCAAACTAAGGGTGGAAACGTTGCTATTAATTTAGCAGAAAAGTTTCAACTCGCATATGATAAGAACAGCCCAACTAGGGACTTGGAAAAAGATTATCCAGCAGATTTATCAAAAAACACCAGGCTGGGTATCGCCTATAGAGGCCTTTACACAATCTAACCTTATGACAGAAGCAAAACTTTTAAGATATCAAGATGTATTAAAAAATAATTGTGAGTTAAGGTCCAGAGAAGAGTTAGAAACACAAAACATATATCTAGACTGGTGGTCCAGAGCACAACTGGAATCTAGGTATAGAAAAGATAAAATAGAGGGCTTTTATACAGAACAAACCATATTCGATAAACTGCTGGGCTCTGATGGTAAAGTAATTAAGAAAATGTATGATTACTTGCTTGATCTTAAAATGCAAGACAAGATAGTCAAAGAATGTATGATTAGGTGGACACAAAATATAGGACATAATATTGATATTGATCAATGGTTGCAAATATGGAAAAATAACCTTAAGCTCATGAAAATGGTAACTTTTAAGGAGAATATTATATATACAAGATGTTTTATAGGTGGCGTATGACTATGGAAAAATTGTCAAAGATTTATATAGAGGTGCCAAATGTGTGTTGGAAGTGTGAAACACATAAGGGAAGCTTTTACCATATGTGGTGGACTTCTAGAGTAATGAAACAGTATTGGATAGCAGTGCATACTCTGTTAAAAAAAACTGCTTTTTAATGTTCCACTAACCCCAGAACTGTTTTCATTGAGCATTATAAGAGACAATATAGATAAGACAAAGAACTACTTAGTTTTATATATACAGTGGTGCCTCGCTTAGCGATTGCCTCGTTTAACGATGTATTCGCTTAGCGATGGGGTTTTTTGAGGAATTTTCCACATCATTTAACAATGTTCTCTATGGGCGATTTTCGCTTAGTGATTTCAGGACCATGCTTCACATAGCGATTGCATTTTAGGTCCCCTGTTTCGCTTAATGATGTCCATTTTCGCTATTTTAAAAGTATCTTAAAATGTTCGAAACCTGTTTTAAATGCTTGGAATCGTTAGTGCACCTTGTAAAACCTTTGCAAACTTAATTTGGCTTTGTCCTGACTCTTCGTTAATTTTTGGTGAATTTCCCCTCCCCATTGAAATGCATTGAATAGGTTTCAATGCATTTCAATGGTCTTGACAGGTCCATTTTCGCTATTTTTAAAGTGTCTTAAAATGTTTGAAACCTGTTTTAAATGCTTTGAATCATTAGTGCACCTTGCAAAACCTTTGCAGAATTAATTTGGCTTTGTTTTTGTTGAATTTTTCCCCCCATTGGAATGCATTGAATAGGTTTGACAGCTGTAGGTTTCCCATAGCGATGTTTTTTTGGAACCAATTAACATCATTAAGCGAGGCACCACTGTATAGTCACTGCAGCCAGAATTCTTTATGCTAAGAATTGGAAGAAATCAGAGATACCAAAACAAGAGGAACTCATTGAGAAGATACGGGAAGTGGCAGAAATTGATATTTTATCAGAAGTGCTGAAAGACTGTCCAACACAAAAGGCAACTGAACAATGGGATTTATTATATAAATGGCTTGAGTCACCAGATAGTGCTTGAATAACATAGATTTAAACTGTAAGTTTAACTGTAAGTTAAAACTTGGAGGGCAATTAAATTGTAGAAAAGTGGAAATTTGATTTGATATTGCAACATGAATAGAGTGGACGACAGTACATTTTGTGTTCTCCTACCCCGCCTTTTCCCCCCATATCCCCCTTTATCGTCTGTACCCCTTACCTTATCCCAAGTTGTCAATAAAAAAGAAAAGTTGCTACTAATTCAAAGGAAGAACCAGCTGAGGCCCATGCCTGTGTTGCAGTGGTTGAAATGGCCTGTGCTGAGCCATGATTAACTAAACCTCAGCTCCTTCTGAGGACGGGCCCGTTATACCTTCCCATTGATCAGCTTGGAACCCTAGCTAAGCAGACTTGCTTATTCAACAAGGAAATTATGCAAGTAACTTTACATTTCTCACACAATGCATAAACACAATAAAGCAATCAAACAAAGAGCAATAAAAATCAGCAGAATGGGTAACAACATAATTAAAAAGAGATTACACTGTTTGCTCTAATGTCTAAGTGAAGAAAAATGACACTAAAACCAGCACCAAGCAAGTTTCCATGGAAAGGCCATCCATACAGAGGACACTACAGGCATGTATTCTCCTTGGGCAGTAGCCACATATATTCAGAAGTTGGGGAGGAGCGCCTAAGAAGCAGCTTTGGTGTGCAGGTGTATGTACTAGGAGGAAATCTATCAGGATGAGGAGGAACAGTATCTCGTCCTTCCCCTTAAGAGCCACCCAGGTCCAGAATGTAGAAATGTAACTTTTTTGAACCACAGCTTTTGGTGTCCATGCTGGCTAGGAAGCTGATGGAACTTTACCAAGCCAGGTCCCAAAGCCTTTCGGTAATTAACAGCACGTGTCTAAGTCCTGCCCAGAAACAGTTCTTGTCTCCGTTTTTAATGGTACAGCTTATTGAACATTTCAGAGCTTTAAAACGTTGTCTCTCAACTGAGGTGGAAAGTTCTCCTTTGGGCCACGTTTCTACAAGTCCGTTGACACGCTTAGTATATAAAGTTTATTGAATCAATCCCCAAAGATCAACATTAGCCTAAAAAGCAAAGCACAGCATTTTATAACACAGAGCAGGCTAAAAAATAAGAAAACAATTGGCCATTGGCAAGACAAAATGAATGTGGCAGTCATATGCTTTGATCTCATGGAGGAATATTTAGCTGCCCCAAAAAATGAGAAGCAACAGTGGCAGACCAGCATTTTTGGGGCCCAGAAGCTTGAAGTGTTATGGGGAACCTCTTCACAACCAGCAATAGGATCTGGGTAGCCACTTTGTCAATGGAGTTGTTCGCGTCAGAGTACCACAATTTTTTACAAAAGTGAACTAAAGTCATCCGTGATTAGGGGCCCTGAAGTTTAAGCTTCTTTAGTTTTATAGCAGATTCACCCAATACCAGTTCACAGGGCTGTCGCCTTGATGGTGATGATGCCTGGGCCTTTGGAGGCTATGGTCTTCCAGCAATACAAGAATGGAAAGTGGTCAAAGAAATGCATAATGTAGATAATGGAGAATTAATTTTCTTGCACAAACTCTGACAACGAATAGGTAGCAGTAGCTTTGGGAGGACAAAGTGACCTAATAGCTACATGCTATGTGATTTCACCATCCACCCAGATTGTTGCTGAGAAAATTTGTTTGGAAGCAAACACTGGTGATTTAGTTGAAACAGCATTTCAAGTAAATGTGATCACATTCTTCTTCCATAAGGAATGTATAATCCGATATACCACATTTCCAAAAAGTGGAAGTTAAAAAATAAGTAAATGTTCACACTGGTGCAATCTATATCAGATTAGAATATCACACCAAAGATTGACATGAGAAACTACAGGAAAATAAGACTTGCTATTCTTATTAATACAGTATAATAAAAGAAACCATGTGTTTAAACAATCATCTTGGGAGTATGGTTGTTGAAGCAATCTGATCCGGTTATTTTTCCACTGGGGCCATGTGCCATGTCCAATTCTCCATGCATGTAAAGTTGCATCACAAGTTCCCTTCCAGTTTGCAGCAATTTCCAAATGTGCTGTTATACAGAAAAAGATAATAAATTAGTTGTTTGTTCCATGAAAATAAGAACCAAACCACTAGATCTGACAATTTTATAATTTTTTGCCTTGTGATCAGACGGCATGTCCACCACATATGAAAATATGTACCAGTATGTCCATGTTTCCTCCAATAGGTTGAACTGTTTGTTGTTCTTTATCAATATAGCTTAACTTGAGTGATATAATACCACCTGTTTATAACCAATAGAATTCTCCTTAAATCTGTAAGAGATTGATCTGATTGGAGCCTTGTTCCATACAGCTTGCTATTTGTCAGATATTATCACCATATCTCTTTCCCAAATAATTTTGAGACCTAATTCAGAGGTATAATGGGATTCATTTAAAATTTCAAATAATTCTGAAGCCAACCCTCACTGGTTATTTTCTGGAGCTACCAGCAACATTTCAAATGCAGTTAGTTTTCTAGTGGCCTGTGTAAGCAGCCCCTTATCTCCAAGAAGATTTATGGGGGTGCCGGAAATTGGGACGAGCTTTCACCACTTGAAGGGAGGAAAAATGAATGACCTGAAATATTAAAATGGGAGGGTGAGAGAGCACTTGCTTGATACAACAGTTGCTCCCTGATTTGGGACAAAAACAACTATACAAATCTGCTAACTGGTAAAAATTACAATTTAAACTGAATCAATTTGTCAACAGCATAAAATAGGGGATGGCTAAGGAAGGGGGTGAATAGTGATGGAGCAGAAAACAATTTATATTGCTAGTCCTTTCAAATGTTCAGCACATTGCTAAGGAGTTGTGAAAAAAATTTCAGACCACTGTGGTATTGATTGCAAGAACTGGAACATGCTGTGTAAAAACAAATGGTTGCAAAAATCTGGCAACAGCTACTAATTCCTGGAAATCTTTACAAAAGTATTACTTCATAATAAATCAATCAGAGTTTCTATAATGATGTAGTCATGGGACATCTTACCCACATCTTCAGGACTGTATCCCAAATGGAATACCATTAGGTATTTCATGGAGTATTTAAGAAAATGATGTTCCTTGCAAAATAAATACATTTGGTGTACAGACATGCCCCTAACACACTGTGGCTGCTATGGAGAAAGCAACTGTGACCAGTCAGGATTCACTGACACATCTCCAGAATTTATTACACTGTAACTACGAAAAGCACTGTTCAGATGACCATGGCAGGTTCAATTATCATATACACATGTGTATTTCCAGCAGGCTGTCTGTGTTATCCTGTAGTCCGATGAAAAAGAAGAAGAAAGCTGGTGTTCAAAGAAGAGGGCTGCAGTCCACAAAAGCTTATACCAAATAAAACTAACTAGTCTTTATGGTGCCACAAGACTGTGCTGTTTTGCTGCAGTGTAAATAGCTCTAAATCTTTCTGACGTGAATTAATTGCAGTTAAAATGTTCTTAAAAGAAGTTGTGATAACATTTGGGTTGGATCTTGTAGACATGGGTAGACCCATAACTTAACCTAATTTCCTTTTATTTCAGCAAGGCTACTTTAAACGTTAATGTTTCTGGAGCCAACCTTTCAAATCTGTTATTGTTTTTACAACAGCAAAGGGCATTCCAGAGACTGGAAAAATTCAGATCTCCCCATCCGAGTTTGAAGAGTGTGGTAAAAGCGTTCCTTAGAACTGCAGATCTCCCCCTCCGAGTTTGAAGAGGGCATTTCAGCTTTGGAAAAAGAGACCTAATTTATCCTCCTAGTGCCTTTAGAAAGTTCTATAGTATTTTCCTCCCTGGCATTAGAGCTCTTGATGATGAGAAAAATGAAAAGATGGCAAAGTGAGAACATGGCATGAATTAATGATCAGGGGCTTTGGATCTGCAGAATCCTCAGCTCTCCAAGTTCCCAGCTACATCCTGGATATGGGAGGACATTTACATTAAACCTGAAGGCAACATGCAATTTTCCTCTCTTTCCTGGAGCGGGAACTAATTCAAGGGAGAGAAGGAGGGAGTTTCATACTGTTGGATGCGGCAGCTTCTATACCTTCAGAGTTGCTCTCCATGCTGCATTGGGTTGATTTGTTGATGTGTAGTGTATATACAGATGTGCAGATGATACCACTCTGATGGCAGAAAGTGAGGAGGGATTAAAGAAACTTGTAATGAGGGTGAAAGAGGAGAGTGCAAAAAACGGCCTAAAACTCAACATCAAAAAAACTAAGATCATGGCCACTGGTCCCATTATCTCCTGGGATATTGAAGGGGAAGATATGGAGGCAGTGACAGACTTTACTTTCTTGGGCTCCATGATCACTGCAGATGGAGACAGCAGCCACGAAATTAAAAGACGCCTGCTTCTTGGGAAGAAAGTGATGACAAACCTTGACAGCATCTTAAAAAGCAGAGACATCACCTTGCCAACAAAAGTCTGAATAGTCAAAGCTATGGTTTTTCCTGTCGTGATGTATGGAAGTGAGAGCTGGGCCATAAAGAAAGCAGACTGCCGAAGAATTGATGCCTTTGAATTGTGATGCTGGAGGAGGCTCTTGAGAGTCCCCTGGACTGCAAGGAGAACAAACCTATCAATTCTAAAGGAAATCAACCCTGAGTGCTCACTGGAAGGACAGATCCTGAAGCTAAGGCTCCAGTACTTTGGCCATCTCATGAGAAGAGAAGACTCCTTGGAAAAGACCTTGATGTCTGGAAAGTGTGATAGCAAGAGGAGAAGGGGACGACAGAGGATGAGATGACTGGACAGTGTCATCGAAGCAACCAACATGAAATTGACACAACTCCGGGAGGCAGTGGAAGATAGGAGGGCCTGGCTTGCTCTGGTCTATGGGGTCACGAAGAGTCCGACACGACTAAACGACTACACGATGACAAGTGTATATACATGTTTACAGGAACCACTTTGTTCATAATATATCGTGTGTGTGTTGTTAACAGGCAAAGAGCCAAGCTCAACAGCAGATTACATCTGTAGATGTTCAGGTTGAATCTCTGCCATTTTAGGTAGGAAGGCTTCGGGAAAGCTAGGAGATGGTTACTGAGTCGATGCTACTGGACTAATGTATGTATGAAGAAGTTTCCTCCATTTGTTTGAACCAAGGCTGTTAAGAAAAGATTATGTTATTCAATTTAGACAAAAGGTGGCTGTGACAGGGTACATCCAGGACTCAATGGTGAACAGTGCAGAATAGTAAAGAGAAACTCTTTCACTTCTCTCTGTGTGTTCAGGTCCATGCACACATATGCAACAAAACATGGCTAACTAGTAACCTCTAAGGACAAATAGAAAGAAAAGTACATGTGGAACAGAACTATATTACACACAATACAGAAGTCATTTGCAGAAATCTTTACCATAGGAATTTTATATAGCAATTTGCAAATTTTTGGTTCTAAGAGGATTAGACAAATGTTTCTCACAGTACACTTTTTTCAATTGTTTTTAGTCATAACATATAAGAAAAGAATCCTTCAGATGCAGAATCTGTAGTTGGCAGGCTGTCTCTGGCAACCAGACTGGCAACAGCTATTTAGGTAAAGAGCTTTCCCAGATTTCCTAGATTTGCCATCGTGATTTTAAAAAATGAAAGTAGACATTTCTGTGTGCAAAGCATGGCTCTTCTGTTGAACCATGACTCCTGCCATCAAAAGAATACAGTATCTGGATAACCCTGTTGCACATGTTGATAGGTCTATCAAGGACATTATCTTGTTTCCAGCAGTGGTAAATCTCATGCTTTGAGAAAGTCAGCAGATAAGTATGCCTAGCTCTAACAATAGGCACAGTGACGTAGTCTTCAGGCAGTAGAGGATGGGGTACAGCAATAAGAAGCCCATAGGTACAACTGTCTGTGTCATGCAGGCTGCCCAACATATCCTAAAGGAGATAAAGGATGCTGTCTCACCACAATATCCTTTGGAACAGTGGTTCCCAACCTTGAGTCTCCAGATGTTCTTTTCTAAAACTCCCAGAAGCCTTCACCACTAACTGTGTTGGCCAGGATTTCTGGGAGTTGTAGTCCAAGAACATATGGGGAATCAAGACTGGGCACCACTGTTTTAGAAGAAAATTCTCCTGCCAATCAAGTTGGCTTATGCACATACAACAGGACGGGGTGCCATCTCATTCATCTCATTAAAATGTCTAGAACAAAAAAGGCAAAGTAACAACTCTCCACTATTGTTTGCTCTTATAGCGGCTAGTAGTCAGAGGTGTATAGTTTCTCAGCATGCAATTACCCTGAGCAGTCAAACCAAAGAGTTATTGAGAGACCAACATGCCCATCTTTTTTAAAGCCATCAGAACTAGCAGCCATCACCACTTTGTAGACCAATGTATTCCTTGGCTTAATTAAGTTTGGGACAAAGGACTCCTTTTTCCAGATCCAGGACTGTGTGACCAGGAACATCAAGACATATTTATCAGGAGGAAAAATATCATCTGCCATCACCCCTTGAAGGTTCTGTTTTTTCCTCTGAAGAAGCTGAAATCCGCCACACAGCTGGAGTGGGTGGGTGGATGGGATTTTGCCAGCAGCAATATATTGGCCAAAATCCTATTGAGTCTTTAATACTGGGGTAATTCATTTGTCATATATCTATTAGGTGAACACAAGTTAGTGTAATCATTTTCTCCTGTGCACTGATTTGTGCAACTTGGTGTACAACAGCAAACACCTATGCTAGCTTCTTCATTGCAGCATTTTGAGCCCAAGATTCACATCAATTGCATTATGACAGCAGGCATGACTAATAGGACTTTGACCATTGTGGTGAACTGTGTGTCTCTATCTGTACACAGGGACAGACAATGCATGCACACAGATATGGATCAAAGCTGCTTCCTGCATTTGGGGACTGCTGTTGGGTGCCCCCCCCATGGGACAGTAAGGAGAAGCACTGGAACTTCAGAATTTGCCAACACACCAAAGGTGGTTCCAAGATATAAGTCTGGGAAGAAATGGGGGAAAAAGGTTTTCTCTGTCAACTTTCTTAATACTTTCAGAAGTATTACAGGA